TAATGTTTACACCAGATCTACTAACGGTGTGTTTTGTAACATTTACTGAAACAGTTATGCAACATGTTTTCATCAATGTTGTCAACGTTCCACACCAAGCTGAGAATGTGATACATTCACACTCAAAGTGTTCAGAGCCCGTATATGTTTCATATAAACATAGAATAAGTTGTATGCAGATTGATTTACCATTAACAACATCAAACACATCCGGTGACGTCGTCCTGGTTTTTCCCACAGTTTTGGCCCAATGAACCCAATCAAGGTTGCCCGGATGCTCCTCAGCCCAACTCATTACTCCGATCATCTTGTGGTAATGGGTCCATGTCATGAGTAGAAAACCATCCCATTGTTTTCTCTCCGGATGTAGAAAGAAATAGCTTGACGCATGCATACATGCAAACTAATCTTGCGACGCTCTCATCGTTCATGTTTTTTTTGTGCCCTTCATGCTTCCTCAGAATTTCTGTATTTGGCCAGCAATTAACCGGCTACCATCCTGCACATTCGGTGTATGATGCCGGAATGTTGGTTTGCACCATAAGCAGAGGTCCATCGACTTGGTGCTTCCCGCAGTCCACCCCAAAAATCAGTGATACGTTCGCTTCTAAAAATCTGGGATGTTCTTATCCCCAATGTATAAACCTTTCCACTAGATTGCTTGAATGTTTGTATCTATCCGTACAATCACATCATCCATATTTCCTATGCAGTGGTTGAGGTTCGATTCGTTACTGATGCAATCCTATCAAATAATGGCCAGAAATGGTGTTTTTCTAAGGCCTTCAATTGGCCACGTTGTAAATTTGGTAATCCTTTAACAGTTTGACCAGTCCAGTTAGATTTGACCGGTAGTTCACTTTTTCATGTCACTTCTTTTCCGGAACAGCTGTTTGATCAGGCTTGGTTTTTGAAACGGGATTCCCCTCGTTTCGCTTGCCAGAACTTTATGGGGAAGACCTGTGTGTTCAAATGAGGCACATGTAAATGTGGTTGACAACAGCAGAGGATGGTAACTCGAAGCAGCAAAACAACAATTCACCACAACAGCATTGACAGTATTGGAACATTGACTCATTTACAGTGATGTGAATGTTCCACATCAGTGTTTTTACTGTAATTATACCCAGTAATCAATACTAATGTGAATGTTCACATCACCTGTTTGAAAAATAAATTCGAAAAACGACAACAGTTACTTGGAGCAATGTGAGCTTACATGGGTGATCACATTATGTTATAATTTGCTAAAAATCAAGGGGGGACGCAAACAGTGCAAAACTACAAGCCAATAAACAAACAACTTGGGCATTGATGTCCACATGTGAATGTTTTCAATCATCACTCACAGTGTTGAGTGAAGTTTGGGGGTTCCTGACATTAAATGTGACATTCACACATGATGTGAACATTCACATCAGTGTGTAACTACTCTACAAATTACCCAGCAATTCAATATGATGTGAATGTTTCACATCATCATGTTTTGAGAAATAAATTTCGAACACGACAACATTTAACTGGCAATGTGGAATGCTTTACATGGGTGATCACATTAATGTTATAATTTTCTAAAATCAAAAGGGGGAACCACAGGCCAAACTACACCAATAACACAAAAACTTGGGCATTGATGTCACAATGTCATGTTTCTCATCACTCCATCACACGTGTGAGTGAAGTTTGGGGTTCTGACATTAATGTGAACATTCACATGATGTGAACATTCACTCAGTGTGTACTCTCTAAATTTTACCGCAGCAATCAATAGTAATTCGTGAATGTTCACATCATCCTGTTTGAGAAATAATTTCGAACACGTACAACATTACTGGCTCAATGTGAATGCTTCATGGGTGATCACATTATGTTATAATTTTCTAAAATCAAATGGAGGGGAACCAACAGGGCAAACTCACCACAATAACACAAACAACTTGGGCATTTGGGAATGTTCACATGTGAATGTTTCAATCATCCTCATCACAGTGTTGAGGAAGTTTGGGGGTTCTGACATAATGTGAACATTCCATGATGTGAACATTCACATCAGTGTGTACTACTCTAAATTACCCTAGCAATCAATAGTATCTGTGATGTTCACATCATCCATGTTTGAGAATATAATTTCGAACCGACAACATTTACTGGCGTACTCGGACCAGCTGAGTTCCAGGCACCGAATGTGAATGCTTCATGGGTGACTCCATTATGTTTAATTTTCTAAAAAATCAAAAGGGGGAACCAAACAGGGCCAACTACACCCAAAACACCAAACAACTGTGGCATTGATGTCACAATGTCAATGTTTTCTGCAATCCTCATCATCACAGTGTTGAGGAAGTTTGGGGGTTCTGACATTAATGTGAACATATCACATGATGTCGACACATTCACATCAGTTGTGTACTACTCTAAAAATTACCACAGCAATCAATAGTAATGTGAATGTTCACATCATCATGTTTGAGAATAAATTTCGAACACAGACAGACATTTACTGGCCAACTGTGAATCTTCATGGGTGATCACATTATGTTATAATTTTCTAAAAATCAAAGGGGGGAAACCAAACAGGAGCAAACTACCCCATAACACAACAACTTGGGTCATTGATGGTCACAATGTCAATTTTTCATCATCCTCCATCACAGTGTTTTCACATGTGTGAACATCACCATCAGTGATGCCTACTCTACAAATTACACCAGCAATCAATAGTAATGTGAATGTTCACATCAAGGCCATGTTTGAGAATAATTCGAACACGACATACATTTACTGGCCAATGGAATGCCTACATGGTGATCACATTATGTTATAATTTTCTAAAAATCAAAGGGGGAACCAACAGGGCCAAACTACACCCAATAACACAAACAACTTGGGCATTGATGTCACAATGTGAATGTTGAGTGAAGTTTGGGGATTTGATATTAATGTGAACATTCACATGATGTGAACATTCACATCAGTGTGTACTACTCTAAAATTACCCAGCATCATGTAATGTGAATGTTCACATCATCCATGTTTTGAGAAATAAATTTGAACACGACAACATTTACTGCCAATGTGAATGCTTACATGGGTATCAATTTATGTTATAATTTTCTAAAAATCAAAGGGGGGAACCCAACAGGGCCAAACACACCCATAATAACACAAAACAACTTGGGCATTGATGTCACAATGTCAATGTTTTCATCATCCTCCATCACAGTGTTGAGTGAAGTTTGGGGGATCTGACTTAATGTGAACATTCACAGTTATATATATATATATATATATATATAGGGGCAAAATAGTCCAACAAATTATATTAAATTAGAAAAATGGACCTTATGGAATATCCAGAAAAATTTATGGGACTAATTAGGTTATAATATTTTTTAGTGGACCTAATGGGTTATAACAACTCTAGAATGGATTTATCAATAAAAATCTCTTATGACAAAATTATATATTCAAATTTTCTTTTTTAATATATTTCATAGCCATTAATCATGAGGGGAATGAGATGTAGATTATGATCATATAATTTCATTCTTTTACTGACTGGTTGTACGTTCAAACTTCATCAGTGATATCATTCAAATTCAATTCTATAATTAACAAATCAAATCAAGCCACCAATTACAAACGTATACATGAGGTCAATACGAGAACAATTTCTAGCTGTGACTCGGGATTTGTCTTGAAAGATAAACACAGGATTAACAGCAAGCCTTCTTTCACGAATTTGAACCCAATTTTGGTTGAAAATTGTTTCTTTTAAGCACACAAAAAACTAGAAAATGTTTCTAATTTGCGACTAAAATGGGGGCTTATGCAATAATTATTTCCAACCCTATAATAGCAGCTTATTCAATGAGTTGGGATAATAAGAGTTGTTCTTGACACTTTTGTATCATGAGAGTATACCCTTGCAAGAAAATAATAGTTGAATTATAGACTACCATTAATCTGTTACACCAAGTTACATATTCAGAGGGGTGTAATCTATTTCTAAAGACAATGACTGCACATACACACCTTTGTTGATAAAGATTTTTACCATTATATTTTATTTATAAATAATTATTTGTTTTTGTTTTTTAGGTATGTATTAATCATGTCAGCTAATGTGCTAGACTTTTTATAAAGTCTTTCATAACTCTCATACTCAAGAGGCTATATAAAACGGTATGAAAAATTAGGTGAGAAGATTGGTCACCAACTATCTCATCTCAATTAAGTATCTAGTGATTATTATAGAAATGACTCGTTTGAGAATATGCTAATTTAATAATTTTTTGGTTATTTAGCTAAAATATGAGCTAAAAAAAATTAGTATATTTGGAATGACTTTTTGACTTTTTACGAAAAGATGTGCAAAAAGTAGAGAGAAAAGAGAATCTTTGATTTTTTAATATGAATTGTTGACTTTTTAACTAATTTAGTAACTTTTTGACTTTTTAACTAAAAATAAGATTTCTCAAATGAGTAGTGCAAAATTTAGCATCAACGCTACTAATATGTTGAATGAACCTATAGTTTAGCTCAACAAGCCCATACTATTGATGTCCAATTCATCTGGTTGCCTTACAAATTTTTAAATTAAAAATTAATGATTCATGACTATCATGAAATTGTAAATACTAAAATTCTCCTGAATATCTTTCACGAAACGAATGGGATTTACATTGTGATTATATAATTTAATTTGTTTCTTTACTTACCGGCTATACATTCACACCATTCAATTCTATAATTAATTAACAAATCTGATCACACCACCAATTACAAACATATATTATACATGATGAGGTGAAGACTAGGACAATTTCTAACAGGTGGTTGTTACAGAGGATTTGTCTTGAAAGATACAAACACATTTAAAAATAAAAAATAAAATAAAAAATAAATTTCAATTTTCAAATGTAAAGCATCCAATTGAATCGCTATAAATAAATGTGTCATACCAAAACTTCTGACTTTCATGTGTAGTAATTTTTTATACATACACCCATGAACAAATTGTATTATATATATAAGATTACTGAACATGATCACACCCAATTGAAAGTAGCATCTATATTCATCATCTCTAAGTAACAATCCATGGAAGTCACTCTCTTCATATACCTTCCTCTGTTTTTATCCTTCTATTTCCTGGCCCAAAATTTTGTCCGCAAACTCCAAAACCTCCCACCAAGCCCTTTCCCAACTCTACCCTTGCTCGGTCACCTCCACCTCTTGAAGAAACCGATCCACCGAACCCTATCCAAGCTCTCCGACCGCTATGGCCCGGTCCTTCTCCTCCGGTTCGGCTCTCGCCGCGTTCTCCTCGTCGCCTCCCCATCAGCCGCCGAAGAATGCTTTACACAAAATGACATCGTCTTCGCAAACCGCCCCCGGCTACTCGTCGGAAAACACCTCGGCTACAACTTCACCAGCATGGCCTGGGCGCCCTACGGCGACCACTGGCGGAACCTCCGCCGCATCGCCTCCCTCGAACTTCTCTCCTCCCACCGCCTCCAGATCCTCTCTCACATCCGCGTCAACGAAATCCAATCGCTGATCCACCGGCTGTATAAAGACTCCGCCGTAAATCCTGATCAGGCGGTGAACATGAAATCGGCGTTCTTCAAGCTCACCTTCAATGTCATGACGAGGATGATTGCAGGGAAGAGGTACTACGGGGAGGGTGTGGAGAACTCGGAGGAAGCGAAGAGGTTCCAGGAGATTGTCTCAGAGACAGGGCAGTTGGGAGCGGAAAAGAATGTGGGAGATTTCTTTCCATTTGTGAGGTGGTTTGGGATTAAAGGGTCGGAGAAGAAGCTAATTGATTTGCATGAGAAGAGAGATAAGTTTATGCAGGATTTGATCGAACAACATCGGTCTAATGAATCTGGATTCGGTGGTGGTGAGAGAAAAAGGACGATGATTGAAATTCTGTTGTCTCTTCATGATACAGAACCTGAATACTACACAGACGAGAATATCAGAAGCCTTATGCTGGTAAGATACTTGTATTTTTGTTTTTCCTTTTAGTTATGATTGAGAAAGTCTAATTGACCCCAACGGGTTGTGGCCTTTTTGGGGTTTAAGCCTCAAGGTTACAATCGAAGTTTGTTTTGGGAAGTCAGGACAAGCTTTTAGGTTACAGTCTCTTACTCGGAACGGACAACAGACACCACACCCTGGTGATCTCCTCATGGGGCACTACTTTGGACCTGCGGAAGGGTGGGAGGATTTCCCTGTAACAAAAAAAAAAAAAAAATGTCTCTTCATGATACAGAACCTGAATACTACACAGACGAGAATATCAGAAGCCTTATGCTGGTAAGATACTTGTATTTTTGTTTTTCCATTTAGTTATGATTGAGAAAGTCTAATTGCATAAAAAATTGATGTTGACAAAAAATAGATCGTAATTATGTGAAAATTTTCTATGTTTCCTAGTTCAAATCCTTAATTGTGAAAAACTACAAAACTACCAACTCAATTTCACTTTTAAATTAAATAATTAAAAAAGGTTAGGAATCTCAAATATTTACTAACATTTCCATCAAATGTCTTATATAGGTGTGGGTATGAGACTCACACTCATGTAAGACATTTAGTAAAAATATTAGTTAAATATTTAAGCAAAAATGCTTTATACCCTCACTGGGAGTCGACCCCCAGTGAGGTGGAGGTCCGTGATTGGGCAAAAAAAAACTTTTTTTTTTTTGGTTGTCAGCCAGTGGGGGCGCGCCACCTCACTGGGGGTGCGACCCCACTGGGGGTATTTAGCAGGGCTCATATTTAAGATTCCTAATATTATTCTAATAATTACTTGTAAATCAACTGAGGCCTTCGTTTGGGAAGAATATTTTTAGCTTGACTTTTTAATTATTTTAGCCTGACTAAATAAGTTCTATTTGAAAAGAATTTTTTATTTTTTATTTTTGATTATTTTATTTTATTTTTTATAGTTTTGTGAGAGAAAAAGTCAAATGATTATAGTTTGAATATAACATTTATCTTATTAACTTTTTAACATATTTTATTTTTTAGTAAACTAAATTAGTCCCAACCTACTTTTCAAAACGAAAATTGTCCTAATTGGCTTTGTGAATTTGAACTGTGATAAATTGATTAATAATTAAATATTTTAATTCTTACTCTTTATGAGGATAATCTGAGTAGGGAAAAAAATAAATGGGGCACCAAAAAAAATGTTAATTGTTCCATTATATAAAGAGGGAAAAAGCCTGGGATTCTCAATTTGGGGATCCCATGACTCCCAAATATGTGTAATTGGTCTATGGGCGTTTTTGTTTTTGTTTTTGTTTTTTTTTTTTTCTCTCTCTCACACATAGGATGACATGGGGTTGTGGGGATGGAGTTTTAATAGAGGTCTCAATCATTGCTATGTAAAGGAGCATGTATAAAAGTTTCCTAACAATATAATATTTTTATTAATCAAACTTGTAAGCGGAAACAACCAAAAATTCAATTGTCAATCCGACTTTACATAACTCTGTACCTCAAATTTCTCATAGGCCTAATCTATGGCTTAGTTTGAAAAGTTAGGTTAATTTTTTTATTTTTTAGTTATTTTAGTTTAGACTGAAAAGTCCGTTTGAATTGATTTTTTTAATTTTTATAAGAGAAAAAGTAAAATAATTATAATTTGAATATGACATTTTGACTTATTAACTTTTTAATTAATTTATTTATTTTTAAAACTAATTTAACCAAAGAGTCTACCCAACTCGCCAAACGACACCTCTATATACCAAAATGTAGATATTAGCACATTGGAGCTTGTCAGAATTTTTCTTATTTTTTCCACCGTGTCCTCACCATGCCAACACATACATTCTAATTTTTTTTCTGTGATTTAATTATATTTACTGTTTATGTAGGTACTATTACATGCAGGGACCGATACTTCAGTTGGAACTATGGAGTGGGCATTGTCATATTTGCTCAACAATCCGGAGATTTTAAGGAAGGTACGAATTGAAATTGACAATTGTGTTGGACAAGACCGGTTGATTGATGAATCGGATTTGATCAAACTTCCTTACCTCCGTTGCATTATCAACGAGACATTGCGGATGCACCCAGCAGCCCCTCTACTCATACCACATGAATCATCGGCTGATTGCACCGTAGGAGGTTTTCACATCCCTCGCGGCACAATGCTACTGGTGAACATGTGGGCCATACAAAATGATCCCAAGATTTGGGTGGATTCCAACAAGTTCAAGCCTGAGAGATTTGAAGGGTTAGATGGGTCAAGAGATGGGTTCATGTTGATGCCTTTTGGGTCCGGAAGGAGGGGGTGTCCTGGGGAGGGGTTGGCCTTGCGCATGGTTGGGTTGGCATTGGGCTCACTGATTCAATGCTTTGATTGGGAAAGAATTAGCAATGAAATGGTTGATATGACTGAAGTCGGTGGGGTCACCGCGCCTAAGACTCAACCATTGATGGCGAAGTGTAAGCCACGTCCAATAATAATGAAGCTTCTCTCTCACATTGGAGCCAATTTGGTCCCATGAACATGTTAAAATTGTGTAAATAAGTGATTAAGATGCAATGACACTCTTAATTCACAAAACTCAGTATAGTCACTCCATTCATACATTTGTCATCCCACAATTTTCTCTTCCATTTACATGCTTTATGATGAAAAATGAAGTTGCTAAAGTAATCCGATCCAACCCCCTAACACAACAACACAAGAAATTAAGAAAAATTAAGAAAGTGAGAAAATTGTTGTATGGCTCTTTCTTTTCTTTTATTTCATTTCTATTCCATGATAATTCCTAGTCTCTAATTAATAAGAATGGTAACAGTGGCAAAGAAACAAAGAAATACAGGAATAATTTGTCAACCTTAATAAGGGAGATACAAATGAGATAGATGATATAACATGGATGACAAAAATTGATGAATGAAGAGACCTAATTTTTTTTTCGACAAGTGATATATAGGTAAAGAATTATATATATATATATATATATATATGAATAAAGGTTTTGATCGGAATACAGGGCAAAGTCTAGGAAGTGACCCATCACGAAGGCACTAATAGAGTGCAACCACACATCACAAATGAGCCCAAGTTTCTAGGAAGTGACCCGTGATGATGGCACTAATAGAGTGCAACCACACCACAAATGAGCCCAAGTTTCAAGATTCGATCGGAGTACAGGACGAGATCTCTGTAGAGAGTTAACTGTAAAGTAACAAATTCGCCCTCCCAAGAGTCAAACCTGAGTTAGGTTTGTGGAAAGAGATGCCTTCTCCGTTAGGCCACCACCCCTAGTGATTAATTATTTGTTATTTGTTATAGTATCAATTTCACCATCATTATCTATAGTATAGTCTTTGTCTTCGGGTTGTTACTGAATAATTATTTCCAAACCGATACTAACAAAATTCAACGAGTTGAGAGAACAATGGCTCTTCACATTTTCACATTTTGAGAGTACTCTACTCAAGCGTACTTGTATCCCGAAATCCACTCACATATCAGGTTAATTCTGATTCAGGATTCGTGGGCCTCATTCACTTGCCTATTATAATGAATCACATTAGTCGTCCTTGGCTTTCAGTGAAAATATATACACTTTTTTATCTTCAGTGATATCACTACACTAGTTGATTCGATTCTACAATTAGTGAACAAATCAGATCAAACCACTAACTACAACCATATACACGAGGTCAAGACTAAGGACAATTTCTTTCTAGCAAGATTATTTGTAACTCGGAATTTGTCTGGAAAGATAAATACAAAATGTATATTTTAAGTAAATAAAATATTTTGCTTTCCACTCCTATAACTCTTGATTATATTATATTAGTGGTATGACACGTGCATCAATAAGGAAATGTTTTCAAATTTATTACAACATAGAAAAATATTAAATTGAGTTTTAATTATATAATATTCTTATAAGAAAAATAGAAACAAATTAGGTTTTGTATAAACATTCTTAGAAGGATTTAGAAAATAAAAACTTAATTTATTTTTTGTGTAAGCATTTTTAAAAGGATTATATTGTAAGAAAATTTGAAAACATTTCCTTATTGATTTTGTGATTTCAAAATATGTAATGATATAATTATTATTTTTAATTTCAATAGTTATGATGATGTTTCATCCTATGCAAATAAAGTATCAAGAAAGAGAAATTGAAAAAACTGTTAGAGAAAATATTGAAGAGATGTTTTAATTTTAAATTGAGTTATGACATGTTCATCATTTAAAATTTTAGAGTAAATTATAAATAAACTCCTTGAGATTTGTTTAAAATATAAATTATTTTTTATGGTTTAAAAAATTACAAATACCTTCTCGTTAGTATTTTTTATTTAACAGAATTAACTAAAAAAATAAAATTTATAATTACTCTCCTATACAATAATAAAATTACCTAAATTATTAATTAAAATATATTTCTAATACCATTAAAAACTGTTAATCGAATTGATGATTTATTAATAAAATGGACCATTTAATATGAAATTAGAAACCTCAGGGGTGGAATGTAATTTTCAAAATTATAGGAGGCGATTCATTTTTTAATCAAACTTCAGTGAGTATATTTGTAATTTACCCCCAATTTTAATATTTTTAGATAAATGTCTCAAATCTCTAATCCAAGAGCACTAATAGCTCTAATGTTGGTATGGGTCCCATGTGATAGGATATTTGGAAAATGAGTGAGAGCATTAATTAGTGTCACCACTAATGATGTGACAGTGGCTCCCACCCACTGTCACAATGTTATCGTGTCTATTTTTTTTTTTTTTAAAAAAAAAATAGGTGCCACGTCATTAGTGATTACTTTAGAGCACCACTTTTAGTGGTCTCTAGCATTGCCCTGAGATATTTTGCTCTTGTTTTTTTTTTTTTTTAATTTTTTTAGCTTATTAAAGCTAGTTTAGTGGTCCAAATTTAGTAGAAGCAATTACTGCTGTTGTTTAATAGACCACTGGATAAAAGCCATTTGTATTTTTCTATTTTAAAACTTAAAAAATTGACAATTTTTTTTGAGATTTAAACTCTCACAATTCTTTTGGTGAAAACTTTCTTCACTATAATATATAGTAAAGATTTTGAAATCTATAAATGAAGAAATAATTAATTTTTAGATAATTAATTAAATAAATTGGTCAATAAACTTTTTTTTTAATTTATTTAGTAAATTAAAAAATCAACAATTTTGAATAGAGTTATAAAGCCCCCGAGCCCCACACACACACACACATACACTCTCACTCACTCTCTCTCTCTCTCTCTATATATATATATATATATATATATTAGCGTATGTCCATACTTGAAGGTACGGTGTAAATAATATTAGAATTAGAATATAATTGTAATCTCAACATTATTTAATTTTTTTTTAATTTGATAAAATCACAATTTCATTATAAAATTTTGGAGTTCTCACAAAACTTTTTACAAAAACTCGCTTTTTTTTTTTTTTTGGGTACATCGGAAAGGAAAAGACAAAAGAAGGACTACATCCTACCGCTCTCCTGAGAGAGATGAACAATGTCCGCAACAAGCAAGGTGCGCAGTTCTTCAGGTGGTTCATTTACAATAAGCAACTCTGTCGGTTGGTATTCATCTAGCTTGGCCATTGCATCAGCACAAATATTAGCTTCCCTTCGAATATGCTGGATGGAGCAGTCACATCCTCTCATGATAATACGCGCATCTTCCACAATGCCCCAGAAAGGACATTTTTCGCCCAGATCCTCACTCAATAGTTTCACCACTTGCTCCGTATCGGTTTCTAGAATCACTTGATTGAAGCCTTGTTGAAGTATTATAGTCAGCCCCTTGTAGACTGCCCAAAGTTCCGCTTCTAGGCTGGTACATATTTCAAGTCTACCATAGTATCCACTTATCCATGACCCAGATTCATCCCGAAATAAACCACCAAAACCTTCGCCTCCTCCATGCCTGCGAGTGCTACCATCCGTGTTAAGCTTGAGTTTTCCTGCATTTGGACAAGACCACACAGAAATACTTTTAGCTTGAAGTGGTTGAGTAACATCCAATCTAAAAGCTTGAAAGATAGTTTTGGCATAATCTGATATGAATTTAACACTCTCATGGATATTAATAGTTTTTGATTCAAAAACCATTTTATTTCGATTTTTCCAAATAGTCCAGAGAGAGATGAGGAATAGGTAGGAATTATGGTTCTTCCCTTTCATATTTTGGATGATCCAATCTGGCCAAGGTAACAAAAGCCTACTGCAGTACCACTCCTTACTATAAACATGGCACCATATTTGGATGGCTTTGGGACAACACCAAAGCAAATGTTCAAGATCTTCCACATTAGCACAGTAAGGGCAATTGGGATCAGAAGTAATACCCCTCAGGTTTCTCATTTTGTTAGTAAGAATTTTTCCATGGAGGACAAGCCACAAGAAGCTTTTAAGTTTCTGAGGAAACTTAAGCTTCCAAATCCAACCCCAACCCCAATCCCTTTCCTGATTATGATGATCAACAATTAAATCATAGGCACTAGATGTGGAGAATTCCCCATCAAAGGATTTAATCCATCTGGGAGTGTCTTCTCCAGCAGTAAACCTAGGTGGTTGTAGCTTTACAATAGCTTCAACCATAGGTAATGGAAAGGAACTTTTCAAATGATTTAAGTCCCAATCACCATGAGTATCAAGAAGAGACTCCACAGTAGTATGCTCACAATTTGTAGTTTGATTGGTAAGTGTGTCCACAACAAATTCAAAGGCCCCATCACCACACCACCAATCTTTCCAAATTCTCACTTTGTTACCTTTGCCAAGCTTCCAGCGAACTCCCTGAACCAGGAGCTCCCTGGTATTAAGGATACCTTTCCAAATGTGAGATATACTCTTGCCTTTCTTTTTAATTAAGAAAGGCTGTTGTCCCAAGTATTTATTTTTTAACACATCAACCCAGAGAGAATTCTCTCCAATTAACATTTTTCATCCCAATTTGGAGAGAAGAGCTAGATTTTGATCTCTAGCCTTGCGGATCCCAAGACCCCCATATTTTTTCATCTTGCAAACCTGATCCCAATTAATAAGATGAACTTTCTTTTTCTCAAGACTGTCACCCCAAAGAAAGTTTCTATTGATTTTATCAATCTCATCACAAACTTTCCTTGGGAGTTCCAAAGTTTGCATGGTATAGCTTGGGATAGCACTAGTGACAGATTGTATCAAGGTTGCTCTCCCTGCCAAGGACAACATCCCAGATTTCCACCCTGTAAGTTTATTCTTCATTTTTTTCCAAAATAAACATAAAATGATTTTTGGACACTCTATCATGCAACAAAGGGGTCCCCAGGTATTTCCCCAAATTACAGGTTAAAAGAATGCCACACATATTACTGAACTGGGCTGCTTTTCTTCTGGCAATGTTGGGAGACACAAACAAATGTGATTTATGAAGGTTAATCTTCAATCCCGAGATTTCACTAAACTCATTCAAGACTTTCAAAATAGTGTTACAATTATGCTCATTAGCTTTGGCAAACAAAATCAGATCATCCGTAAAAAACAAATGTGATATGTTAGGTCCATTCTTAGCCAAGCTAAGCCCAATCCAATGTTTATCTTGCACTTGTTGGCTAATCATGGCTGAGAGTCGTTCCATACATAACACAAATAGATATGGGGATAGAGGAT